TTGTCCACCTGCCTTGCTGTCTTTCAAAAAGGAGATGACACAAAATGAAATCATGAAAGATATGTCACCTCATGGGTAGGACACTCTGCTCAGGATGAGCAAAGGTAGTTTCAGAGTATTAAAAAAATGGAATACAACATATGTTTCAGACAACAGAGAAACCATCCCATAAATTTTGGTACCTCCAAATTATGGAACACAGTGCAGCAATTAAAATCATGTTTTAGGAGAATATGTTATATAATGTTGACAATACGTGGATTGCGTGTGTGCGTGCGCGCGCGCACGTGCGCGCACACAGCAGAATATGTGGTATAATTCTGATTTTGTAGAGGAAAAATTGAACAGAGTGAATAGACCGGGATAAAATGCACCAAAATATTGAAACTCACGGCTCCTGAGAGGTGATCAAATCCCAGATAATTGTCACTTTCATCATTATGATTTTCCATTTTTTAATCTTTACATCATGAATATGTATTCTTTTTACAATCATACAGAGCATGTTACATTTGGAAAGAATAAACTGCAAAGCCCTTCCAATAATAATGGAAATGTCTTAACACATGAAAAGATTAGATGATATGGAAAGAAAAGAGTTTCAAGAAAAGGAAAATCGGTACGAAGTCAGACATCATTAACTGCTGATGATCTCTGTCAAAAATGTGGTCAGGCAGTGAGTTCACCAAACTGGGGCATTGTCAAAGGAAGAAGCCATGTCTTGAGAGTATTCAAATGGTTCACGGTACCGACTACGCCAGGTGACCCAGGTTAGAGTCCTGGCTTGGCCATTTAGCAGCTATGGGACCTGGGATAGAGCCCCTGATTTTCTCTTAAGCCTCAGTTTTCTTGTTTGTTCAAAGATTCTTAATATGTGGTAGGGCTGCCCTGAGGAGTCAGTGATAACATGCCTGCCAGGGACCCCATAGAGAGCCGCGTCTTTAATGATGCATCACAGGTGAATGGACACCCAGCTCTGAGTTCAGAGCCTGGAGGAATCTATGGGGCAGGAATGGCCGGGGCAGCCCTAGACAGGGACTGGGGTGTGAGGGCTTCCAAGGGCTCTCTCCCTGAGTGATGTATGAAAGAGGCACTAGAATCAGAATCTACAGACCTGGACCCCAATTCCGGCAAGGCATGCAACCTGCCTTAGCCCTTGTTTCCTGTTTTGTTTTGTTTATTGCTTAGTCTTTTTTTTTTAATTTTATTTTATTACCTTATGTTAGTCACCATACATTACATCGTTAGTTTTTGATGTAGTGTTCCACGTTTCATTGGTTTTGTATAACACCCAATGCTCC